TTGTATTTTATAAGCTTTCAATCCTTTAATATGACATCCTGTAATTTTTCAGATAAATGTTGTGGTATAAAAAGTACACATTGATCTGAAAGATAGTGGAGCAGCATTTAGTCACATTGAGTAGAAGTCTACTACAAGCCTTTCTTTAGAGCTCCCATTCATGACAAACGTGTTGTGGTAAATCTCACTTCTCCTGGATGTTTGAGCATTTTGCAGAATGATGGAGGGTTCGTATCTGCCAGCGGTTCCTGAGCTCACCAAAAATCTCACATAATCAAGCAAGAGGTGGCCAAATGCACCATGGGAAAACCACGGCAGGCATAAATTATACAGTAGCTCACTGTTACTCTGCACAACTGCCCATTATTATGAGGGCCTGGAGGGAACCCATTCACTGTTTATGCTTTCTTTCAAGGCTGCACAGGATTTTACAGTTAAGGCCAGCACACTGCAGATCATTGTGAAATTATGTCCCACTTTCCCACCACACACAAAGAAGCGTGCTTCCCTCACAGTGGCATCATATTCCTGGCCTCCTCTTCATAAATGTCAGGTATCTCTCCCATGGATGAGGACACCATGCGGACAGAGTTGCAACCACGAAGCTCCCCCTCATACTGGATGAGCTGTTTCCAGAACCCGTTATTGGGTCTCACGACAGGGCGACAGGTCCTGACCCAGCCGTGGGCCTCTAGGAGGCTCACGCCGCGGTGCTTCATTAGGTAAGCCATGCACAGGGCAGCTGAGCGGCTCACCCCGGCGTTGCAGTGCACCAGCGTGCGGCCGCTGCTCTCTGCCGTAACCTGAATTTTATCCGCCACCTCGTCAAAGTGATCGCTGAGTCGAGAGAACGGGGTATCAGAGACCGGGATGTGGAAGTACTCCACCCCTGGAGGGGGCGAGACGCTGCCCTTTTTCTCAGTGACGTTGATGATGCAGGTTATCCCGCAGCCAGTCACCTGGCGGGGATCACCGGCCGCTCGGGCATTACTCAGGTAAAGACAGTCGGTGACTCGGCACAGACCCGAGAGAGCCGACGGAGCTGGCTGATGCATGGATAACGTCACATTCAGCGATGCTTCACAGTTTGTTCCTTTCCATGATACAAATCGCGCCAGCGCGCGCACGGCTGGGCCAGCGAGGTACATGCAGTGGTACGGCAACTCAGGAAGGCCAAACATCTGTGAGCGCGCAAGCTGGCGCCTCCAGCTGGATGGGGGTTTTATCATGTGGATAGAATGGTCGTATTAATGAAATGTAAATACCCTTTCTTAGTGACGTACTAGGCAGCTTTATACTGACAGGTATGCAGTGGGTTTAAAGTGGGATCACAATTCAAATAACCTACACTGTGAAAACAAGCAAACAAACATTAAACATCCCAGTTTTAATGAATCATCAACGTTATGATTATCATGTTAATGACTTTTTAAAAAAAAAAATCAAGATTTGCTGTGTGGCCTCAGTAATTGAACCCAAAGTGCAGGACTGGGAACAAAAGACATAAAACTGAAAAAACAGCTTTATTGCTACACTCCAACAAAAGCACAAAGATAAGCAGGCACCCAGGACACAGCTCAGAGAGAGGACTGAGACGACATATACTCACAAAGGATAACAAGGGTACAAGCAACAGGTATGAGGACAGCTGAAACTAATAACAGATAATAAGTGTGTGGGAGTAGAATCAAAGCGAAAGCACACGACGAGAGACTATCAAAATAAGACAGGAAATAACCAGCACTGAGACCAGGACTGAGACATGAATTTGACAAAGAGATAGAAGATAAACGCAGAGACAAGAATGGGATTGCAAAATGGAGATTAATAAACCTTTCACCAACTAAAGCAATCAGGGAACTAAAGGCACAGAAAACAACTGGACTTTAAGTTTCATAAAGATGTTTCCTCTCATCCAAGAGCTTCTTCAGGTAAATGATGCAAAGTCCCGGGTATTTAGAAGAAGCCTCTCGGATGAGAGATGAAACATTTTCACGAAACGTAAAGAAGTCCAGTGAGTTTTTTCCCCCCCAAGCTCCTTAGCCTACCATGACCTGGAAAACTGAGACATACAGAACAGAAAACAGGATCATCACATCATTAAGTTAATTTAAATGTTTAAGTTTTTAAGTGACTGCTGTGGTTTTGAAAGCAACTCATTCTTGCTTCTTGTCAGGTCTCTCAGACTAATCTTCCTCCTCAGTAAGTGGAATGCAGCCCAGTTGAACTGAGATCAGCTGATTAACTCAGCCAGTCAAGAATGTTCCAGGTCCTGATCCAAAAAAGCAGCATTTTATTTAGTTGGCAGTAAAATCAAGAGTAAAAGCCAGTGTCCCGCTTCCACTGGCAGCCCAGGAGATCCAACCCCTGGCAGAACCACATTCTTTTGGTCAGGATCTTTGTCCCCGTCCACATATGTTCCTCTTTCTAAAGCTTTTCTCTTTGATAGACACTATTTGTTTCATCCGTTTATCACTTCACCAGTTTTGTTCTTCTTCTTTTATGGAAACTTTTCATTTCTTTTTCTGAGAATTATCGGAGGTTAACAGCTTGTATCGGATTCTCTTTTATGCTTATGATTGATAACACGCAGCCTGATGTTGTTCCAGTTTCTGGTTATCCACGAAATTTTTACAACTTGTTACCAGTTTTCCCGTTGATTTACTCTGAAATAATTAAGCCCTTTAATTAATAATAGCTGAAAATTAAAACTATAATTAAACTACGTTTGTGACAATTTCTCGCTTAAATCTGAGTAATGTGAGCTCTTTTGCTCATGAACTAAAATCAAGATAATAGCTAGGTGTCTGAAAAAGTATTTAGTTGGCAATTGTCCAGTTTTTTAAGAGCTTTTAATATTTGCTGAGATTTACTCGTAAACTTGGCATTTTCAGTCGAGTACCCGTTATTTGAAATTGAATGTGTTGAATCACAGCGCAGAGAAGATAAGAAATATTGTTCAAACATGAGTGAATGAAAAGCAGGCAAAAGAAGAGGTGTGAGATTATGCGTGTGTACGTGTAGAAAGCACCTAACAATGAAGAAACATCAACCACTGGTTATGTTACAGTAAGCAGAATCACAGCACGTCACTGTAGTGTGCCTTGATTTGAGGTGGTTGCATGCAGGCCTTGCTGGTGGTGCCTGCAGGCAGTCCTCTCGTTGCCCGGGAAACACAGATGGTGGATGAAGGGGGCGCATACAAAAGACCATAAACCTGTGGCAGCAGCTGGAGACCGAGACCAGCGATTAATTCAGGTCTGCGCGCTGAGTGAAAGAAGTTACTGTTCTCATTAATACCCTCCGCTCATGTTCTTTGTCCCGAGGCTTCCGACTCCACTTTATCCTGTTTTCCGTGGACTGGACTCCCGTCAGTGCGCAGCTGTTGTTGGCACTCCCACATCTGCTTCTCTCCGCTCGGCAGCCATATAGAGAGGACGCACAGCCGCGGTTCGTGTTAGTAGCGTGCTGCCACTCGATCCAACCAGCCTTTCAGTGCGGGCGTAGTCACTGCGCACACACACGACGCCTGTTTTCCCGTCTGATCGGCTTGCGGTCAGCCTGGTAGAGGAAGACGAAGAAAGCAGATAAAAGGCGAAGAAGGAGCGATCTTTTGCTATCGTTTGGTGACAGGTGGATGTGGATCCCGGAGATCACTGGTAGGAAAAAAAAAAAGCTAATTTATTTCCAATTATTCTGCTCTTCCGTTGCATTCAACTTTTACCCCCCTCTATCCCTCCCAATCCTTTAATAAGATCTATGTTTTTAGGCAAACACTGACTCCTTTAATCCTTCCAGTTGAGGGCCTATTATAGAGAATATGTCTTGTAGGTTGTAGGGTGTATGCTCGTTTACCATAGAATATGAAAAAAAAATCTTGTAGTTATTTTTAATCTCAATACATCTCTCAATACAGCAGGATGCAACCTACCCTATATGTCTTTAATCTGCAGAGAACAAGCTGTAGTCATTATTTTTGCACTGATTTGCCAAGAGCAATGTCAAGTAGTCCCAGCCTTAACTTTGATCTTCTAATATTAAATTCACATCTAATATGAAGTATATATGAAGTATATACATAGTATATAGTATATAGACAAGTCCATTTGACTCAGTATTTTGCCTTTTAGGTACTCCCTGTAGATTCATCCACAGTGCTGCAGACAGAGACACACAGGATGCTGGGAGGATCCAGAAGGGAACCAACAACAGGACAGGTTATGTGTACAGACTGGATTGTCGTCATTATCATCTCTAGGGAGGTCACACGGAAATTTAATAGCATTACTCAGTCATTTAGATAACTGATATTACTGACTCTTATCCTAAGTGACTCATATGTTTTTACAGTGGGTGTTTTTCAGTCCACCGTGTCTGAGACTAAATATAAAGCATAAAAAGAAACAAAAAAAAGATGAAAGAACAACCAGTACCTGGGGGATCTTGTGAGGACAGTTGGGTTGTGTCCCACTTTTTTCTGCTGCTTTGTGTTGTGTGCTCTTCTCCAGTTACATCGATGGAAAAAGATGGGGGGGCTTGACAGGACTTCATTGTACTCCCGGTGGCTTCGCTCCATTGCCCTCTACTGTGCTGCGTATGGACTGGTACAGGATCTAGCCACAGATTTATACCACTGACTTTTATTCCTTCACATTCACTTTTATGTTGTACACAGTGTCTTCTTATATAAGTGCCGATGAATATAAAATACAGAGCCAGTTTTTTATGGACTCAGTCATGCTTTTGTGTGAGTGTGTGTCTCTGTGTGTTTGTGTTAAGCCTCTATGCTGGCACAGAGGACAGATAAATGAAGACCAGATAGAACGTGGGAGATCAGTTATGTGCTTAATCACTGACATTTATTATTATTATTATTATTATTATTATTATTATTATTATTATTATTATGCTTGCTATATAGGTACTTTTCTCATTATTATGGTTAAGAGGTGAGATAAACCACAATTTGGATTATGTGACCAAATCATATTAGCATAATCTGCCCCTCGGGTGATTTTATTCAAGATTTTTGTAGAAAAGGAAATATTTGTCAATATTTTTCAAACCAGTACAAAACTATATCTTTGTAATCATGCCATCATTCACTATATCTATATTATTTTATACTACACTATACCATCCTAATTCCCTTTATTGTGACTTGTCTTGCAGTGATGACCACATGGTGCCATTTTCCCTGCCCTGCACCTTCAGAAGAGCGAGTCCGTGTTCCAGTGTTTTCCTACTGAGAGATGACTTCTGCTTTTGCAAATCAGTGAAAACTGTATTTCACTTGTTGCTTCGTAGTCAACATCAGTGTGCTCAGATTTAGCAGGGAGATATTTCATGGGTGTTGTACAGAATATTTTGCTGCAGTGTGATTTTTTTTTTTTTTTGTAAGTAAAAGCGCGTCCCGGCCCATTCTCTGACTTTATTTTGCTGTTCTAAAACAGTGACGCGTGCGGTGACCTCTACTCTTTCTAACCCTCTGACGGTTTCTTCCTATATAAGATACTTCACTCAAAGCGAGCAGTGTTTCACCAAGACTATATTTTGTGTCTTTTCATAGCTGGAGTTTACTCTGACAGATTTGTGCAAAGCTCTGATATTTGAGAGAAAAAAAAAGCTGCTAAATTGTGTGAAAATGACAAGTTCCCAATGTGCCATTCACACAGTATGTTTTTGTTTGTGTGGAAACCTCTAAAGTTGATCACACTTGTGTGTGTGTGCGTGTTATGGGGGTGTCTACGTGAGTGCACGTGTTTCTTTGCATGTACCCTATACGTATGTCTGCATGTGTCTCTTATCAGTCAGATGAAATGTATTTGTAACGGGCCTGAAGCTAAAAGCTGCTTTACTGTGATTTTTGTTTTCACAGCTGCACACTCAATAACAGGCCTATATTCTTTTAGCCACTGGATGTACCAGATAAGGGATAAAACAACATTTACAAATGGTTCTTAGCATTTGTTACAACCTCACTGAAGTAGCAGTTATTATACTGATTTAGATCACAAGGATGCCATTGGAAATTAATGGTCTGTAGTTTTCTAAACGATGCCCGCTGGCATTAATTAAGTTGTCCCGATGCCTACAGTCCTATCATTTCACACTGAAGCCAATTTCAGCAAATGCTAATAATTATGCGTAAATAGATTTTTACCCACATCTGGGTTGTACTAACAGTATCTCACTAATCTCTAACAGTACTAATATATGTGCTAACAGTTGGAGGATTACTAACCTGTATTGAGAATGCTGTTGGCTGGCATTTCTAACCCTAACTTGACTAACCCTCTGCTTTCTGCCCGCGGTCTGCAGCGCATATACTTTCTTTGCATGATTTTGCATCCCTTCTTTTAGAAGTTGAAATAAATCTTTAAAGTTGGGAAAAATGTTGCACTGAGCATGTCAGGAAGGGTTTCGGGACTTGGAAAGGGAAAGAAAGCGATTAAGCTCAAGGTGAAAAGACAAGCGGGAACAGCTGCTGGCATCAAACTGGGTTGACCACACACTTACGAGCAATCAACGCAAAAACGATTGTGATCAGATTCAGAGAGGTCAGCCTTTGCATTTGTACGTGCTCTGTGCGGTCAACCTGCAGGTGAGTGCCTGGCTTGTTGTCAGCTCGGGCGGTGATGTCAGACAGAAGCTGAGCACACCTCAGTACTAACTCCTGATTGGTGCTGATACTAACAGTCCGGATCCTGTAAATGTCCATCTTACTAATGTCTTTGTTTGCTGTTCTTTGCTAAACTTTGAGTAAATCAAAGCATGCCCAGCAATACCAGCAATACAACTGGACAGACCTACTATGAACAACAGTCATCAACAGTCATCAAAACAATTCACTAACCCAAAAGAAGAGTGTTGAACAGCTCTCTACAAACTAACAAACTAACCTACTAATGAACACATAACCTAACAAAAATGAACTAGAATCAATAACTCTCTGCTCAGTATTGTTGAAGCGCCCCAGCATCGAGGGGACGCGTCACTTACTAACAGAATGAAATTCAACAACGTGCTTGAATGTGTGCGAGAGGGAGAGAGAAGAGCGAGTGTGTACAAGAGGTGTGTTTGTGTGGAAATGCAAACAAGTTGCAAACTGGCTGTGAGCACTGCGAAAACCTCCAAATACTCTTGCAGCCTAAATGTAATCCTTGAACCTCTCAGTTTATGTGTTATGTGGAAGCAGCATGTTAATTAATGTTTACACTGACATAAATCGTGTTTTGAAAAGAACAAAACAAAAAATCAATACAAGCAAAATGTCCATAAGAACAGCAGGAGGTCAAAGAAAATGTGTTAATAAAGTTAAAAAACAATAATTTGATAGTGATTGTATCGTTTACTGTTTCATGAACAATTTCTGAATATTTTTGTAAAGTTGTAACTTTTGTTTCTAAAACTTTGTATCCAGTTAATAAATTTTTTTGCAACATAGCGTTTCGTCATGAGGCTGTGGGCCCGTGTTTCCTGTCCTGTTTCGGTCACAGACGGCGTGGAGTTAGTTTTAAGCAACAAGCGCAGATCAGAAATGACACTCAAGGTTACACATTGCTTTAAAATGTGAAGACAATGGCCATCAGAACACAATTGGTATTGTATCTTATCAGCTCCAATTCAATATAAAATACTATGTATAAACCATAAAGTAGACAATATTGCATCAAAAATAATGAAAATAATATTGCTAGTGATTTGTAACATTATTTATTCTTAATTCACAATCAGCAATAAATATATATGCATAATATATGTATATGTGCATGTATATTCTGTAAATATGTACATAAATAATATTAGCAATGAGTATAGAAAAAATGACCAGATTGCTTCATATTTTGCATAAAGCAAATAGCTACTAGTTCATTTTGTTTGGAGCTGAAGGAGTGTTAGTGTAACGATATGTGTTTACGACCCATAAATACTGCAACACACTCATTGTGTCAGTGCCTCAACAACCTTTAAGAATTCAAGAACCTTTTTTTTAACCTGATAACAGGGATGACATCATTCAACATTTATCTTTTGTATTTGTTTCTGACAGCTGCTCAGGTATAAAAAAGGATCTGTTTAAGGTCAAACGATGAAGCTCTGTTTATCTTGAAATGCTTACATACCTGTAGTATTTTATCTCTCAAAGAAATGTCATGGATCTTTAAATCATCATTAATGGCAGAGAAGCGCTGGCATCAAAGTGGGAAGTGGTTGTATTACTAAACTATTTTAAATATTATGCATGTGTCTGACTGATCAGTCAGATCACCATGTTCCTCCTGTGAATTCATACATACAAACTGTCTAAAATAACTGCATTGTTTTCATGGATGCAAACTTACAGCAGGGGGCAGCAACTCATCATGTTGGGAGATAAAAACGATGTAAAATCTAGCACAGGTTTCTTCTTATATTTAAGTCGAGCGGACACATATTTGTGATGGCGCAATGTTTCAGACTATTCTGTTGATACTCCTTCACATTTACATCAGGCCTGCTTCAAACACTGCGTTTATGATTCCTTTTAAACCACATTTTCAGCAATGTTGATTTTACAAATACACAAAGTGTGTTACAACTCCAAGGTGAAACTAAAGTGGTTAGTAATGTTAGTAGGATATGAGTGTATTCCTTTAAAACTCTCTTGTACAAAGAAACATTATGTGCAGACACCGTGTGCATTAGATCCATCGCGTCATACAGGTTTGTGTGTCTGCGCCAGAGACAGAAAGAGCGAAACACACACCGCAGTGGACCTTCATTCCAGCATCCTCCTGATCTGCATGGGTCAGACACACTGGGTTCTGCTCTGCCCCCCATTTGAGCCCAATGTGATCCAGATGACAGGGGGGTTTCCACAGGCAGAAGTTGGGGGGCCCGGGGTCTTCATGGGTCAGCGGTAATTCACCGCAGAGCTCTGAAAGCAGAGTCTTAACACACACAAAACCCCGCACAGAAAAGTGAGGCTCCACTTAAAGTCTTAAATATCACACAAACCTCAGTTCAAAGGCAGGTATGTTTGCATGAAAAGCCTTAATCGGCTTAATGATGTCCTCTAGCGCATGGTTAGTTTTGAAAACACACTAATGCTCAAGTTTATACAGGCTTGGATACCACAGAGACATTTATGTCCCAAAGACAGAGAGAGGCAGAGACCGAGAGCTTGTGTGTGTGTGTGTGTGTGTGTGTGTGTGTGTGTTGATGTAAGCAATCAGTAATTTCCACAATTATCTAATTGTGTCAGAATTTCTGCAAGTTTTTACCAATTATCCATTTCCGTTTTCTTCTTTGTTTGAATAAAATAAGGAATGTTTTAGCACACTGCTCATGTGTGCGTGCGTAATTATGTGTGCGATCCAGAAGCAGCCCTCTGTAACCAGAGCCTCCATCATATGGAGGATGCCTGCTGAAATAACAGCTCCGCTACTTCCAGCGGAATGTGTGTGTAGGCTGTAAAAGATGGCGAGGAAGAAGAAGAAGAAAACCTAAGCCCGGGAAGTATTTCTCTTTGTGGCACTGTAATCAGCAGTGCTCTGCCCTGTAGAGCTTAAAATAGTAAAACCACTGAAAGACAGTTCAAGGACTGAAAAGAGATCGTTCTCGCTGCAAGTGTGTATTTTTATGTGTCGCTGCTTCCTGAATGAAGACGTGAATCTAGTTACAATATTCTTCAGGTTTTCTATTTTTTAGGGGGAAAAGTGTTTTCCAGGCCTGCTGTATGTGCGCTGTTGTCGTGTTGTAGAACCTTTACAACCTGTGTCCTGTTTCCACATACATTTGCAAAAATGTATGTGGAAGTTAACGGAGACTTCCTATTCAGTTCAGTCTGGATAAGAAGCAGACAAGTTACACATGTAAAGAAGAGGAACAAGCAGAAGGAAGAGGGAGTTCCTTTTCCATCGGGTAGAGAGCAGCTAAAAAAAAGGAGTGCTCGTAGCAGTAAAGCAAACCCAGGGCATTAAAGAAACAAAGAGAACTAAAACTGAAACCAGGCTAGAAGTCCAACGTATACATTATATGTACAGGTGCAACAGTCTTGAATCAAATGGTCTCGCACCAACCATCAGAAATCAGTCTTTTCAGCGGTTGTGTCTTGCTGGGAAACGCTGAGTCCAACTCTTCCACCATATCCGACACCAGTTCCACAGACAATTCCAAAGCCACTCTCCTTGGCATCTGTCTGCACTATTCATCCTGTTGCTTCCCTGCTGGAGCAATACAGCAGAGCAAGTACAAGTGCTGAAGACAGGGGTACCAAATTGTGGCTCTGGGGTTGTTGGTCTTTCAGCGCACAACATAGGTTTTGACACATGAACTGGGGGGAGTTCATAAAATATTTCTGTGCTGGAACGTTTATGATCTAGCTGATCTCTATTAAGCTTCACTTTAAACTAGAATGCAGGTTGTTCAAAGTGTCGGTAGACCTGCATTTCTGATAACCAGCGCCAACTATTTTCAGATTTTTGGAAAGCAGAGATTGTTTTGTTTTGATGCTAAAATTATTGCACATTTTCTGCAAAATGTTTGCACATTATACAGTGCACAGCATCACAGTCACCTTCCATTGAGCAACTCACCTCATGGACAGCTTCTATTAAACCCTATGACACATGATCTACTTGGTCATTTCCTCCTCGCTTCTGTGTCTTCCTTCCAAACACTAAGTCTAGTTAATAATGTAAAAAAAAAAAATGGTGATATTAAGTGGAAGACCTGGTGCTTCCTAAACGTCTTTCTTTTTCCACACCTCCACCCAACTCGGAGACTAGATAAGCGGACAGCTGGAGAAGACCAATCTGTCCTGCTGCCTGGTGAATGATGGACAGTAATTAAAAGTTAGCTAATAACCTCTTCACACCTGACATTTCAACAGGGAGGTCCTGGACACCATTATCTACATATAGATTAAACAGCGTAATTGGCAGAGAGATAGGGTTAGGGGGATCGTGAAAGAAAAAGGAGAAAAAAAAAAGGAAAAGGGGCCAGGCCATCGCCAAACCATTAAGCAGAATATCTGAGTGACACTCTGATTTTGCTCCTCTTGCTAATGCGACAGGAATTGAGCTGAACTAAAACGCTAAATGA